AAGTCTGCAATTTCAGTAAGCAACTTATACATGTATTCTGCATTTTATACATTTTCTGCAGTCTACACTATAGTTTATACCGACTGTATGCTATTTGTCATTATGTTCCGTTAGTATATGTGGTAAAATTATATTTCTGGAAATGTAAACAGCATACTAAAGTATCAATTAAAACCATTGGTCGATGTGGGTCAGGCATTGCTTTATGGGCCCCTTATAGTGTGCACACCCCTTAGTGCTTTCTGGTCAGTTGTCATATCAACTTTGCACTATCCTTGGGATCTCTGAGTTCTTTAATATATTGTGTAGAAATCAAGGCATGTTTGATTTGAGCAGTTTTCCCAATTTTTACAACGAAGAAAACGCCACAAAAATATTCAATACATAATAATATAACTTATATATAATTTTGGCGAGGTTTGTATGAGCTCTATGCTGTTTGTATGTACTCTACGCTGTTAACAAACTGCTCATACAAACCTATGATGTATTGAATATTTTTGTGGCGTTTTCTTCGAATTCGTTGTAAAAATTGGAAAAACTGCTCAAATCAAACTTGCGTTGATTTCTATACAATATGTTAAAGAAAAATGACATTCTAGTATTTTAACATTTAACAATTTGTGAAAAAAGATTAAGCATGATGTACATATGTACTGTGTACATATGTACAGATGTACTAAAAGAATAATTCATTTGACTATTTTTACTTGAAAACACTTTAAAAGGACTAATTAATCTAGTCTATTTTACCGCCGCCATCTTGTTTTCCGCGTAAATCTGGCGCATGCGCAGAGAAATTGCACCTATGTAGTCTTATGTAGTCTAAATTGACCTCTAGTGAATGATTGACTTTCGACCTCATTTTGAGACAATTGTTTCTCTACTTGGTTTTATTTCTAGATCGACGGTGTACCTACTGCCACTAATTAGCCAACGATGCAGCATGCATTATGTAATGTGCACCATATTTGAAACGTAGCCAAAATCATACCTCATCATCTGCACCTGTTATTCGTTCTAATTTGCACTAAATTTTCACAGCTATAGCAATCAGGATACAAGGATCCTCTGGTAAAGGACGTGTGGAAATATTACACAATGGGCAATGGGGAACAATCTGTGATGATTTTTGGGATATGAATGATGCTATGGTTGTATGTCGTCAACTTGGTTATTTAAATGCTGTTAAAGCACTTCAAGGGAGATTTGTTCCTGATGGCACTGGACGGATATGGTTAGATGATGTTACCTGTACTGGGAGTGAACAAAATCTGGCCAGTTGTTCTCATGGGGGTTGGGGACGTCATAATTGCGGGCATAGTGAGGATGCCGGAGTTGAATGTTCTTCAACAGGTAAAGTTATTGTTGTGTTGGCAATGCATAACATCATCAAACGAAAGTCTCAATCAAGGAACCATGACAGGTTTGCAGCGGATGAGTGTGATGACATGTGGGTGTAAGATTATGAAAAAAGTTTGAGTTCTTTCCCAGCCTTGAGACCAGAATTTAAACTAGGTGAACGATTCTTAATATAGAGTGCTTCAAGCAACAAGAGGAACTTAGGCGACGTGCGAGGGTTAATTAGGCTGCTTTCAAAATTGGATCCAATGGACACTATCACGATGCACAGTATCGGGTTGGAGCTAATAGACTACGCAAAATTTCGCTTGTGGTTTACCAGTATCGACAACTGTTGTGAAATGCAGCTACGCTGTACTCTTGCCATCGTAACCGAGGAGTTTTGTTTTCACGGATCTGGATCGAGCTTTCTTAAGTTGACTTTTCTTTTCCTTACATAAGCTCTGCAACCGATTACTCTAAGATGATTTCTTCTTGGTGTTTTACCGGTGAACAGTTCAAAAGGACTCCTGTTTTGGTTGCTGTTTATACTTGCAGGCTTCGCATACGTCATTCGAGGTTACGTTATTTGCTAGTTCTGTGTGTTACATATGTACCGCTAACTGCAAGTCTCGACATGTCTTGTTGATGTTTTTTGTCTCGGCGGCTCGTGAGCCACTTTTTTTTTGTTCTTCCCACATTATGACGTCATACTGTGTACCTATAACTGAACAGACAACGGCAAAATCTTACCTACTTGTTAAATATATATAGTATTTAACGTTGCAACTTACAACAGTTGGAATTGACATAGCAACAGAATATTCTCAGGTTTATTTTTGGGTACAGTTATTGTAGGCATAATTAACATATGACCTTGTTAATCATGCATAATCTACATAATTTCACATATATGCCAAAGGATCTATACCAGACGTTGGAGTGCTTAATCAGCTTAAATTAAATGCTACTATGTAGACTAACTACCACATATAGCCCAATTTCCACAAGTGTTGATATAACTGTATATCAATACGGAAAAATGTTTTATATTTGTTTTATAATATAGCACAAAGAAACATAAAGAAAGAAATTTTCCGGCGTTTCCGTGTTGACATTGAGTTGTATCAACACGGCTCTTAGCCAATCAGCGTTCAGAATTTACAAATGCTATATTATAAATACAAATGTAAACTGGAATCAGTTGCCCATTTTGGACTCAGCACTCTAATGTGATTGGTTGAAAGTAGGTGCGATTTCAGCACGAATCACACTGCTAGGAGTGCGATTCGTGCTGAAATCGCACTCCTGTGAACCGATCAGATGCAGGAAGCGCAACTGATTTCAAAATGAATATAATAAATTGTGAAAATATTTGGGGAACCAAGAAACTCAGACATGCTTGCCAAGCCACTGATCTGGAACAACTAAGGCTATAACATCTAATTCCTTGATTATATTCTTCCGGAAAAGTTCAGCACAAAAATGAACTTTCATCAAAACATGGCAGATGTTAAAGTCACGAATTTTGAAACAAAAACGTCAGTTTAGTTGATTTTCTGTCAAAACGTTCCCATTTGATTCAAATCTGGATAACAACTCCATACATTTGCCTTCTCCTAGCTGCGTAGCGCATCTCGCCTGCTCCCCGGCACTGCTGGAATTTTTTAGCCATGCGGTGAGAACATAGAAATAATAGATAATAATATCTATTATTTCTATGGGTGAGAATCGTTGTGAAAATCGTTTGTATATTGATCTCATTGCCATATACGCGCTTAATTTAGGCTCACAATTAAGATGGTTCAGTTGTCAATTTTCTGGAAATAAAGCCCCACTACCATGTACATGCAATTCAATTACTTCTTACTAAAATCTAGCTGCGATATTTCAGCCTGATTTTATACAACTATTTCTAAACACACCCATACGCAAACATTGTCTTATACAGTACGGGGAAATTCTCCGTGTTCAACAATAATATTAAGGGATGAAGAAATTTTGAAAAAATTACTACGTACATAGCTAGATAATGACTTAGTTGAATTTAGTTACATTTAAGAATAATGTAAGAACAACATTCTTTGACAAAAACTATGGGACATGAACTGATGTAATTTTACACAATAGAGCGTAGCGCCCTCCCTCCTTCCACGTACCCCCGTTCCCTCAGTTCAATGTTGTGCCGACAAAAATGTGATGTCTGGTTGTAAGACGCCATCATTCACTGAAACGGATGAGGGGAAGGAGGATGCAAAAATGTATCAAGAAATTGTATAATACATCTGAATGCATGTGAAATGAAATTGTCCCAATGTACATATATTGTCAAAGATTGTAGTTATAAATTTTCTGTATACATGCATGTAATCATTGAACCTTATACAGTTTTTTTTACATTTAGAATGCGGATACAAAACTTTAGGTCTTCGTGATGATGATGGACTACCATACTATTATTTTCAAGGGACATCATATAGCCAAGAAAATATGAATAAACACATAAACAAAAATTCATCAGACGGAGCGACATGGTGTCCAGATAGAAATAAAATAAAAGACAGTTTTCTTGAAGTGGATCTTGGGAAACAGCATTCATTATGTGGTGTGTCAACTCAAGGCAACGGCACATATGGCTTTACTAAAAGTTATAAAATTAAACTATCGTCGGATAGGATTCAATGGAAATTTTACCAAAATAATGGCACTGACATGGTAACAGTTGTTGTGTTTTCACTAAACGTCTTTTGAGTACTGTGTAAATGAGCCAATTATCGATTAAAGATACAAATCCAACTTGTCCCGATATTCGTTATTTGTCTCTATATAACTTACTTACTTTCACTTAAGATGCAGAGAAAAATAACGAAACAAAGCTTGTGTATATGATGTAAAATTATGTTGCTTTGTCTTGCAGGAATTTAAAGGAAACAACGATTCTACAACAATAGTGTTTCATCCATTAGAACCTGCTGAAACGGCAAGGTTTGTGCGTTTTTATCCCGTGAGCTATGAAACCAACGCCTGTATCCGAGTAGAGCTCTATGGGCAAGAAATGAGAAAGGGTAAGTTAGTTGAATTAACGAACTGACCTTTTCATGCACTAGATGAAGTTGAGAGTTAGACATTTGTCTATAATATACTGATGAACAACAGTATACAGGCATAGCAGGGCCTTTTTTAACTATATAACAGGGAGCATTACAGTATACAGGCGTAGCGGCCCCATGATGGCCCCCCAGTCAAACATCCCTCCACCTCTATTTCAAGGTCCCTTTTCTCTAAAATATAAGAAAAACATTGAGAGTCTGTTATCTTCAAATTGTTCAATTTTTTTTAAATGTTAAACAGTGTGTTGTAATTACCTTAGATTTTAACATTTCCCAGTGGATAGCATATCCCATATCCTATTTACATAAACATACCATGCAAGTACTTATCTGAAGATTCAGTCAGTCTACAGTACAATGTAACACTGTATATTCAAAAGATTGTTTCCGAAAACGAACGAAGTACAGTCCTAGGGGTGAAAAACTACGAACATTTTCTGCAGACGAATTCATCCAGAACCCCCCTGCTAATACATACGACACCACACCAAACTTTTTGTCACCAACAACCATCTGTCATCTCACCATACTCGGTATAGTATGGTCCCTTTCTGTAGATGCCCCCCACTTACGGTTTCTTAAAAAAGGCATAGTTTGGTGGTGAGACAGACTTTTACAAACCCCCCTTAATCTTAGATTAGGCAACCCCCGGTTGGAGGTCACGTGATAGTGAACTGAGGAAAAACAACGTGACTTTGAAATGTTTGTTTATGACGTATATTTTAATAATACAGGGTGTATCAAAAAAAGCGCAATCCTCGACTGAAATGTAAATTGCTAAACAAATAATAGACGAAAACTTTAAAGTTTACATTCATTTTAAAGCGTAGCCATTCAGCTTTCTAACAGTGGGTTGTTTCTTAAATTTGACTCAT